AAGGTTTTTTTTTTCCTACCTAAGCTGGTAGCATGGAGCGGCTATTCCAGCGTAACCGTAACTAGTAGGTGAGCTCACGGGGCTCAAACCTGACGACGATGCTAACACGAACCCTAGCAAGAGTCGTGCTTTGCAGAATCTACCACCGGATCGGAATCGCGACCCACTGAGAAGATCCGGCGAGAAACTCAGTGGGCTGTGTCTGAGAGTTAATTTACTCGTCGAGCCCTTCGTCGCAAGCGACGGGTTCGACGAGAACGGTGACCGGTGCTTGAAGTACCTACTCGTAGAAGCACCGTTAGTGGATCGGGAGGATCCGAGATGACGTGTTTTGGGCGACGTCGACTGCTTTCCATTCTGTCCGCAGGATCGGGAATGTAGTTACCGGGGGCCACGATGAGAGGGTTCTCGTGTCGTGCATTGTGTGGCGCATCGACGCCGACTGCATATACTTACTGGTGGACTCTAAGTCCAGGTCGTCATGGAGGTCGACGTTCCTGACGAACCACGGGGCTCCGACGGCTATCCTGCAAAAACGGGATTGAATAACTTGGAAGGATTTTAAGTGAGTGCGGGCCGCGTGAGCGAACACTACACTTGCATAGCTCATGACGGGGCGTATACAAGTTTTGTAGAGTGTCACCTTATTTCTAAGGGACATTTTGATTCGCCTGCATATCATCGGGTAGAGACGTCCTAGAATGAAGGCGGCACGATCGCGTACCGTCTTAATATGAGGCGAAGCTAAGGGTTTTGATGGGTTTTATTTATTTTTAATTGATCGTATAACGACCGTCCTATGTAAATTGACAACATTTCATTATTATTTTTTGACATACTCATATTATTATCTTAATTGATACTATGTAGATGCAAAATAAGCAGACCCTTATAATTTACTAGCGACCCGCCCTCGCTTCGCTTCGGAAACATTAAATCACACATGAAACAAAAAAAAAAATTAAAAAAAAATTAAAAAAAGTAGCCTATGTTCATCAGGGATAATGTCGGCTTCTAATGGAAAAAGAATTTTTCAAATCGGTCCAGTAGTTTCAGAGCCTATTCGAAACAAACAAACAAACAAACAAATCTTTCCTCTTTATAATATTATTATTACGACCCGCCCTCGCTTCGCTTCGGAAACATTAAAACACACATGAAACCAAAAAAAAATTTAATTTTTTTTTAAAAAAAGTAGCCTTTGTTCATCAGGGACAATGTCGGCTTCTAATGGAAAAAGAATTTTTCAAATCGGTCCAGTAGTTTCGGAGCCTATTCGAAACAAACAAACAAACAAATCTTTCCTCTTTATAATATTAGTATAGATTAGTATTAGTATTAGTATAGATATTTTGGAAATTCGATAGTTTTCATTCATGAATTTGGTTTTGAATTTCGTTTTATTCTAAATAGACGTAAGCGCCAAGTGAGTGACGTCACGATTACGGAACATTGCGCTGCCTTCGACAAACTTGCTTCGGTAACCGTACTCGTCGAACTCGACAAAGAGTTCGCCGTGCAACCTAACCCATGAATCAGCTCGCTGAGTTTCTCGCCGGATCTTCTCAGCGGGTCGCGAATTCGATCCGGTAGTAGATTCATTCGCGAAGCAGCTACTCTTGAGCTGTTAGGTCTCCTTCGGAGGCGCTCGGGTAGCTGTTAGCAAATCCCACCCCTCCTGGCTGAGCCTTTGCTCGCCCACCTGTCCTGGTGAAACTGGAAAGGCCTCCGGGCCACCAGTAATCCTTCAATCATAAAAAAAACAACTTTGCTTTTAAATTAAAAAATACTTGACAGCTGACATGACATTCACGATTAGCGTCATTCAATATAGCGTTGTCAATGTTGTCATGTATACTTGTTGATATTCACTGTTTCATTAAGTTTCTTTGTTTATTTTTGTTTGTTATTTGGAACCCTGATGCATTTGTTTTGTAATGATAATGACATATTTTGACATTTTCGCCACAGAGTATCAGCAATGTCGGAAAGGCAAAAGAATATTTTCAGACAATCGTAAACATGACGTCACCACAACATTTTTTGTTTTTAATTATTTACTCCCAAATTAAGTAATATAAAATTATAAGAATTACATATTTTAGCACAGAATTGAAAAATAAAGAAACGGTATTTTTATTTTATGCATGTTAATTTTTTTAAGTGTTGTCAATTGCAACGGACGCGACGGTAGTATCTACGCGTGCGGGATCAGTATACGCCCTGCTACCGGTAACCTAATCTCTGATTTCGATAGTTCGGTAGTCCACATGGGTACCGTCATCTTTCTCATATGTTTCGACGCGAAGCGATAATACGTTTGGGGTTAACGACAAAGGGAAAATGTTCCACCGAACGAGTGAAATTGCTCGGTAGACCGGCGGCCCAATGGTTTTTTTTTCAGTGGGCTGTGTCGGTGGGTTAATTAACTCGCCGAACTCTTCGTCGCAAACGACGGGTTCGACGAGAACGGTGACCGGTGCTTGAGGGACCTAAAAGCACCGATAATGGATCGGGAGGATCCGAAATGACGTGCTTAGGGCGACGTCGACTGCTTACCATTAGATCTACAGAATCAGATACTTATGTAGTTTCGGGCGGCCACGACAATAGCGCTTTCGTGTCAATGGCGCACTGATTCCGACTGAAAATACATACTGATTGAGTCTAGGTCCATGTCGTCCCGGAGATCCACGTTAATCACAAACCACGGTGCTCCGACGGCTATCCTGCTGATTTGAAGGGGTTTCAAAATAGCGCGGGCCGCGTGAGCGAAGATTACACTTGCATAGGTCATGACCGGGCGTATGCAAGTTTTGTAGAGTGTCACCTTATTACGATGGTAAAATTTACTTCGCTTTGAAATCATCAGATAGAAGCCCGAATGTTGTTATTCGGAACTAAAATATATGGAAGCTTACCCTGAAAATATCGTTTGCGAGGTTGAGGCATCTGCCAAATATCTTGTATTGTATGTTGGCTCCCACCAGATATGATACCATTTCCTCATTCATCTAACTCATAATTCAATAATTGAATCAATTTATTTTGCGTCGGTATTCCAATTTCTTTTTTATCAATTTATTTCAGTTTGAGATCTATTTGTTTTATTAATAATGATCGAAATCAATAAAAAAGTTTACGAAAATATCAATCAAGATTGCACAACATTTTCATGCACATTTCAGTTACATAGACAGAAAAAAAGCATATCTGTAAAATAATAATCGTTGTCGAATATGTCGTATACCTATTCCAATTTTTACATATATTTTAGGCAATATCCTTAAAAATAAGTCGTCAATACTCCCAGACACTTTCCGTCGGCCGAATTGCTATGCAGACGCTTTAAAGCTCCCAAAATAATTACCTAACTTCACGTAAATTCTGATGTTTCATTTTTATATACCTATGTCCACCAGACAACTATTTTAAAACCTCTTACAAAAAGACAGACCGATCCAAGGGGCCAATCATCCCCTAACTTCAATCAAACCAAAAAAAAAAAAAAATTCAACATAAATGAAAATAAATACTTGTTGAACGTCAAAAGAACTACCGCCAATTTACAAAAACTAGCCTCCGTCCTGAGAAGAATTGGCAAGAAACTCAGCGGGAATGTCTTTTTTTTTAACATTAAAAAAAATAAAAAAAAAATTAAATATTCATTATTACAATGAGTATTATAACGTAACAATTATTACAATATTGAAATGCCCGGAGCGAGCAACTCATTCCCACTTTGTGCAATCTTCTAGATAATCATTGACTTTATAGTAAGTTTATTGCGCAGATGTTCTTTAATAGTTTTCTTAAACCTATGTATATGTAGGTTCTGAACATCTTGTGGGATTTTGTTGTACAGGCGCACAGACAAACACCCAAATGAATTTCGTATCTTATGTAACCTACTCATCGGCACAACAAGCTTGTGTTTGTTCCTAGTATTTCTATTATGTATGTCCGACGTTTTAGGAAACTCCTCAATATGTTTACGAACATATATCAAATTTTCAAAAATGTACTGGGATGGCATAGTGAGAACTTTCATTTCTTTAAATTTAAAAGTCGTCGTAGCCTAAAGCATCAGCCGTCTGGTGCATTCGTATGTAGCGATACATCGGTGTGCGGTAGGTGTGCGGTGCCGGTAGGTACCAATTTTTCCAATGAAATACGTACTTAACGAATGTTCACGATTTACTGCCACGGTGAAGGAATAACATCGTGTAATAAAAATTAAACCCGAAAAAATTATAATCTGCGTAATTACTGGTGGTAGGATGTCTTGTGAGTCCGCACGGGTAGGTACCACCACCCTGCCTATTTCTGAAGTGAAGCAGTAATGCGTTTTGGTTTGAAGGGTGGGGCAGCCGTTGTACTGTAAAAGTGAGACCTTACAACTCGTGTCTCAAGGTGGGTGGCGGCATTTACGTTGTAGATATCTATCCGGTAACCACTTAACATCAAATGGGCCGTGAGCTCGTCTACCCACCTAAGCAATAAAAAAAGTAAACTGCAAAAACATAAGACAGGCTCTAGCTTCGTGTAATACCTTCACGCTGAGTTACGCTAGTGGTGTCATTGGTAAAATAAAACTCATATATTAGTATCAACTGATTGTAAGGATAGTTTTTTTTCATTGTCACTATAAGCTGATCAGCATACCGCCCGCCTGATGGTACGAAGTCACCGTCAACCGTGTACGTCAGCATGGAAGCGTCCAGTCAAGTCGCTGCTAGCCTTTCACCAGCTCTTAGAACTTTGGTTGGTTTTGGTATAAATGGTATATTACCAACAACATTATATAGGTGAATCGTTTCAATAAACGGTCGTACGTCTTATATTCAATGATGGGTGTTAAAAAAATTTGACCGGCTTTCACAAGTAAATATGATTTGATAAAAATCTGAAAGTATACAATGCTGGGAATCTTTAAAGTACTAATGAAACGAAAAATTTGGGGAAAATTATTTTTAATTAATTTATACAAAAGTTGACATTACAATAATTTAATCAAAGAGACATTCAAACACAATTCATAAATATCGCAGGAAATAATAATGCATACTAACTTTTTTCAATTAATATATTTATTTTATACCCTCCGTCATAGAGAACTGTGCGTGTTGATTTACAGTACAACAGGGAAAAAAACATCTAAATTTACTATTTAAGAAACTGTATGGAAAACCTGACAATTGGAAGGCGGAATCACGTATAAAATAGCAATCGCGCTAATATTTTTTATTCCAATGCTGTTGCATTACATGCAATGTATCACACTTGGAAATAAGCTGACGTGTGCATGTCGAAGGCGTCAATATTCCCGTTTGAATTATGAGAGCGGACACATTACATTGCGGATTCACGAAATATGAACGTAATTGAACGAAAAATATTTATGCTAAACTTAACCAGTGAATCTTGTTTCGTTTACGTCAGGTTAACACTTTATTGCCGTTTTAGCCCTCTCATTGGAGATAATCAAATCGCTAATTGAAAAACAGTGAAAACAGAGAATTCTCTCTATGTTTTTTGTGAGCTATTCTTCAATTTGGATTTAGTGATATACTAAGATTACAATGTTTCTATATTTATTTCCTTCAAACGGTTGTCAGTTTTTTTTCAAAGTTGCCGCCTTAATATGTGATACGACTCGAAAGGTTCAGCTTTATAACATCGCTGCTTAGCATCTTCTTCAGCTTTGTTTATAGGAAAACAAAGGTAGTCAGTAATATAATTACTTCACCGCCAATTTATGTCACCGACTATTATTTGTTTTATTTGCTCACTCTGTACATATGGTGTTAAATAAAGTTTTATTATTATTATTATAATTACTTCAAACTACTACGTGGAAGCTAAGACCGCTGCAAACGCACTTGAAAAGTAAGTGCCAATCATTCGAAATTGCATCAAAATAAACTATAACGACCGTGAACTATCAAACAATTCGTTACATAATATTTTACATCATATTTTTAACTCATTTATGGGTTTTTATGAAAACTCCATTCTTTTCTTATTGTTATAACTTTAGTGTGCGAAGCTCAATTAATTTACTTTTATATTACACATTATATATCTTTTAAAGTTTTAGCAGAAACAAATTATATCACGTAAAAATTATGCACCTCTTATTTGGTCCTATTAAAATCATTGATCACTTTTAAGTGTTTTGTATTTAGATATGTTTGGGACTGAGAAAAGGATAAGTTTTAGGACTCACTCTGTATTTCGTTGATGCACTATTCCATTTTCTCACTGGCGAGAGTTATATGTGCTAATTGATCAACAAATAACAATTTTATTGTTTTTGCACCGGCACCATGTTTTTTTTACTCACTTCTTCGCGCCATTTTCATACGCGCGTAGTTTTTCTTGTAGTGTCAACAGATGGCGTGAATAGGGATTGAGGAAGGAATAAGGAAAAGGAAGTCCCAACATTAAGTTTTTCAAAAATATCGTTGCCAATAACAGTTTATAAAAAGTCAGTTTTCGAATACGTAAATACGTACTCTTTGTTCACAGTTTGTATACTGATAAATATTCTGGTCCTCTTTAAAAAGGACGGTTCTACACAATAAACTTAACTAAGCTTAAGCTAGCTATCAGTAATATAATAGTTACTGTAGATTTGTTGGAGGAGTTGCATAAGTCGCCAGTGCATACTTTACAAGACGATAATGCTCCACTGAAATTGTCGCCGATGACCTCACGGCAGCTGACCTCAGGATCGTCACTGGTGTGGGTACAACCTCTAACAGTAGTCAATCTTCCGTTTTCTGTATAAGAAACTTTATTATGAATATTGTTTATGCGGCCTTGTTTATGGTTGATCAAACATGTAATTATGAATAATAGGTGATACCAAATATTTTGTTCATTGAAATAAATAAACCTTCGCTGAAACTTAATTATCAAGTAACATCGATGTGTTTAAAATAATGCTGAGTTAAACCGTCAGATGATAGATCAAATACCAAGTCCATTTTACCTTCATACGTTGTCGTGACGCAGCCAATTTCTGAACCACTTTTCAAGGATCTAATTGTTCTCAAAAATCCAACACGAGCATTCGTATCCTGCACCAAACCAATTATATAGTTAAAGACGAAGAAAGATATAGAAGCTGAATTATCTTTGTATTTAATTAAAATATATTTTTATTATCACGTCATACTACACTACACACACTACACTACATATTAAATATACTATTTATCCATAATTACAGATTTTTCAGCTTTTGATCGGTATATGCGATCTCGGTATTCTTCTTTCTATAGTTCTAAATGGGCTACGATTTGACCTTGTGTGAAATAGTTACAGGAACCCATATTGCATATGCACAACAAAGTAAGTTCTGCCACGCGCTTTTATACAATACAATAATATGTAACAATGTACAATATAATATCATGTAATATTTTACGGTTGTTCCATTTTTCAAACCAAAGCTTTAAGCTGGAAATAGACATGATGGTATCTACCGGAGCGATCTCACAATATATCCGATCAACAATAATTTCGCATTTTTTCATGGAATTCGTTCTTTTTTTTTCTTTTTTTTTCCTACCTAAGTTGAGAGCTTTGAGAGGCTGTATCAGCGTAGCCTTAGCTAGTAGGTGAGCTCACGGGGCTAAAACCTGACGACGTTGCTAACACGAACCCTAGCAAGAGCCGTGCTTCGCAGAATCTACTACCGGATCGGAAACGCCACCCACTGAGAAGATCCGGCGAGAAACTCAGTGGGCTGTGTCTGAGGGTTAAATTCGTTCGTGCGCGTTTGGTTAGAAGAATTTTGTACACAGGTTAAACCTCAGAATGGGATATCAAATACACCTAGATTAACTACGGATGCCTTTTAAATAATAGTGCCAGTAACCACTTCCTTAAGATGTATAATTTGTTTATCTACCCTGCTAATCAACATATAATTTAATCTCACATAAAACAATGACTATTATTCATTAATTTTATTATAACCTATTCATTCATAAGTTTTATATGAAAATAAATTTTACGATTCTTTATATCATTGATTTGTTTATTATCTTATTATATCTTATTAGATCGTAAATGCCTAATAAAATTGAATTTGTTTCGGGTTGCTTTTAAAGATATTAGAAATTTTAAAGATAGATCTACAGGGATAATTATATAACTTAAATAGGTATACGTACTTGAGGTAATTGTGATTCGGTCGTTTGAATATCTGAATCATCCCTAGTTATTAGTGGCCCACTGGGATTTCTTTCAGTTACTATGTGATCGGGAGAACCTGTTGTAACACTAAATTCCGTCGTAGGCAAATCTGTAGTTTGTGGAATTACTGTTGTTGGTAAATTTGTTGATATTTCTGTATAGCCGTTCGTTGTTATGGGTGGGGGATTGGTTGTTGAAGCTGAAATGACTGTGCTTGTGAACTCAATTGGTGCAGTAGTCGTGGTTACAATAGGTGAAATTGTCGCTGGTGGTACTGTGGATGGAAGCGCTGAGTTAGCTGTTGTTTCTTCAGGCAAAAGTGTACTGCTTGTTACGTCCAGCGTTATTTCTGGATATGATAAAGTTGTTGTTTCGGGACTAATGTTAATAGATTCGGATGTTGTCATTTCAGATGGTGTAGATTCTGCCGGAATTATCGTAGTATCAACCGAAATAATTGTATTCGGTGCGATGGTAGTTTCTGCCGAAATTGCAGCGGTTGTTATTGGTTGCTGTTCAGTTGCTATCTCGGTTGGAACATCAGTAGGTGTTTGGGTTGCAATTGTCGTTGCTTCCCTTGGCACATTAGTGGTAGTTTCAGACGGTTCAGTTGTTACTATTTCGTTTGGTGCATCAGTAGTTGTTTGAGGTGCTATAGTAGTTGTTATATCGATTGGTATATCAGAAGTTGTTTGAGGCACAGTTGTTGTTCTTTCAGTTTGGATATTATTAGTTGTTTGAGGTGGTGCTGATGTTGTCGCTTCGGACGGCATAGCAGTTGTAACAGCCGTTATTTCGCTTGCTGAATTCGTTGTTGTTTGAGATATTGCTGAAGTTGTTTCAATAGGTAACTGAGACGTCGTTTGAAATGAAATAGTATTTGTTATTACAGGCAGGCTTTCCGTTATAGTTTGAGAGACATCAGTTGATAATGTGTCAGTTGGTACAGTAATTGTTGTTGGAGATTGTTCTGAGGTAGTTGTTGTTAATTCTGGCAAAGAAGTAATAACGGTGTAAATATTTGGTGGTGTTGTGGATTGTGTAGTTTCAGTAGGAGAAGCCGTTGTAGATGTTGTAACAGGATCTGCTGTATTATAACTGTTAGTGGTTGTTTCAGCTTTTAGGGTGGAAGTTGCATCTGTTTCTTGTGGGGAGTTTGTCGTTCTGGGACTACAGGTTTGAATGTGTTCTGATGAGACCACGTTGCAGTCCCGACACACGTAGCACTGTTGTGCATAGGCTGAGGATTAAAATATATATACACTATAGTCAAACAAAATAACTTAGGAAATTAACAAATATCAACCCTAGTTCGCTGTAACAGATTGTGAAGCAGACATTCAAGGCTACCTCAGACGCATTCTACTGAGCTGTTTTCACTGTTGCCGCAAGCGATCTCGAATTTATTGAATTCTTTGTTATTACTTCGTTGATTTAAATACTACAACTGACATGTATGATTGTGAATATTAGCAGCAAATTTGCTGTGAAGTAAATGTTTCTTTTCACAAAGGGTAGGTTAGCTGCGATACGAAAGATTTGATACTGATCACGTATCTCAAGGTAGATGACTGCATTTTTCGTGTAATTTCTATGGACTCCGGTAACAACTTAGCACCAGAAAATCCGTGGGCTTCTTATGCCCATCCAGAGCAAACTGAATTTAAAAAAAACCCCTTTCATATAGCTTAGGATATTCTACAATTCAACTAGTAAGTCACTCTTTCGTAAATGAAACCTCATATCATATTTTTTGCTTAGGGCCATTTTTATGAAATATTTTGTATGTGTTGGCTGGTAATGCAAAAAAAAAAGTTCTATCTTAAAGCCCTATCGTTTAGTTTTGCCAGTCTAACTAATATTCTGGATAAGCACGATTTTATAATTATACCATATAGTTTTTACATACGATAAGCTGAAAATTATCAAGCCCGAACGGAGTACCTAAACGCATTGCAAAATTACATAGTGCCGTTTAAGCATGTACCACAATAGATAGTGGATTATCGCTACGTGAATACGTCATATATCGCTCGACTGTATCTTTATTTTATTTTTCCAGTTTTCTGGTGCTATTATTGAAGGCTGTACGCGCTCGGTGAAACCCCCATGAGACTATTAATTTTGTTCACTTAACATTCAACTCGAATTGTACTTTTGAGCTATATCTAATTGTAATGTTATAAACAGTTTTCGGTACATGCAAATAATCAATATTGATTTCAAGAATTTATCACAGATCGCGTCTTAAAATAATAAAAACTACAAGTATGCATGCATACAAACATATATGCATATGTATACGCATGCATATGCATATATGTATTACTAGGGCAACACCCACAAAATTATAATTTGCGTGATTACTGGTTTAGCTGGTAGCAGTTTTATTCGTGAAATGAACCTGACTGACGATTAAGTCTCCCGCATCTGTCTCTAGCAAGAACTGTGCATCGCATAGGTCAATGTTGCGGCCTAGCAAGAAAAAAAATGAACATATCGAGAAATTGATATCTGTTAACGCCAATAAAAAGTAAAGAACACATACAACTTAAAATAAGACCCTAACATTCTGGTGGTAGGAGATCTTGTGAGTCCGCGCGGTTAGGTACCACCACCCTGCCTATTTCCGTCGTGAAGCAGTAATGCGTTTCGGTTTGAAGGGTGGGGCAGCCGTTGTAACTATACTGAGACCCTACATTTTTTTATCTCAAGGTGGGTGGCGCATTTACGTTGTAGATGTCTATGGGCTCCAGTAACCACTTAACACCAGGTGGGCTGTGAGCACCCATCTAAGCAATAAAATGAAAAAAAAAGTTATAGTAGCGGAATTTTTAGCCAAAATTTTTTACTTTTTTTTATGCATAGGATTAACAAGCTCACGATCTATCTTGTGTTAAGGACGTAGACATCACATCTGAATTCTGCCATCCACCCTGAGACGTGAAGTATGAATTTTAATGTAGACACTAGCGGTTGTCCTTTAAATAGAAGAATTAAAATGCTTAGCGGCAGGAGTAGGTGGAGTGGTGGTACCTACTCATGCGATTTCACAATAAGCATTATTAGCAGTACTATTTGATTACTAAAATCGGAAATTGCAAATCACTTAATCATATTCTTGGTTTACATTGTTTTTTGGTACATAAAGTATATAACTATTGCAATCAAATTTTGTTCCCTTAGTAATTAACTATTAAAGTGCAAAATGATATTAATATCGATTAGGGCTGTCTATTCATTGAGATTTTTAAAACGTTTTTTTTTTGTAGTTTGGGGCATTTTAATTGCTGACTAAAATTCAAAGTATCCAGCAAATGCGGCTTTGCGTTTGTTTGTTTGTGTGTTTAAAGATGCAAATGATATTATGAACTCGAGAAACTGCTAAAATAAATCTAGTCACTCAAGTGTAAAATACGCTCATATAAGTCAATTTTATTAATTTTCATTATTTTGAAACACTTACTTAATTTTATTTTCTATTTTATCAAATAACCTTGTTGTTTTAATTCTAATAATATTGAATATTTATTTGTAACTTATTATTAATTTTAAATAAAAAAATATATTATATTGTAGACACAGGTGTTCGATAAATATGTGTACGGTGACATGGCAGACAGAAGTGAATAATGAAAAATCTTAGAAAAATTTTATTGACGACATTCCCGACTAATATATAAAATTGCGCAACTTACATTTAAATATTATTTTTATTAAGAACATTACTCACATTTCACGTTTAGGAAAATCACTACAAATAACACTAACACAGAACTGTATCGGCGCGGACCGAACATTTTTTTGATTAACTTTTTTGTCGCAAGCCGCAAACGCCGTCACTCCACTGAACGAAATGCCGACAGAGCATTTCGATAGTAATTTTATACCAGTTGATTATCTGTGAAAGAAAATGCTGATAAAGGATGGTCGTAGTTCGGGAAATCACTGCATGTCGCTATCACGGAGCGGTCATAAGTTCCCGTTTTAAGAATGAGATGGCTGTTATAAAATACAATTGATTTTCCGACCTCATGTACTAATGTGCGAGGTCGTGTTCATGTGGTGATGCCTATGGGCTCTAGTAAACATTTAACACCAGATGTGGCTAAGCTAGTTAGCCAGATGATACATGTATAATGAAATAAAATAAATAAACACACACAAAATGATCGTACAAAAAATATAAAATTTTCAAATTAAGGGGATTTCCGTGCCGAGAATTATACCGTTATCGCGTCCGTTTATCTTCCACCGGATAAGATCGTTCTAAGCAGTGATATCGAGGCGCTGCTCGGTATGGGGAGCTCTGTCATTCTGGCGGGCGACCTAAATTGTAAACACATCAGGTGGAACTCACACACCACAACCCCGAATGGCAGGCGGCTTGACGCGTTAGTCGATGATCTCGCCTTCGATATCGTCGCTCCGCTAANAAAAAAAAAAAAAAAAAAAAAAAAAGAATTATACCGTCAGCTAGGTATTAAGTTTATCTTAAACTAAGAACTGTTTATTGTGATTGTCTTGAAGCTTTAGAAGCGGATCGAAAGAAATAAAATGTATTAACTCGCAAGAATTATTGTGCAACAGCTAAAATAAAAAGTTACTTCACTGAATCTATAGGCGAACTGTTTAAATTTTAAATTTGGCGCGTTAAAAAAAAATTTTTTTGAACAAAATAGTAAACGGAACCAAGCTCCAGAGCATAAGATCTGATCAAGTCTGACCAGCATTTTTTTTGAGCCGAGGGCCGTTGTTTTACCTTGTTACTCTACTCTTTCAATAAAATTATAAAAAAGAGGAAACATTGAATAATGATACATTTAAATGAAATTATTTATAGCCTCAAAAAATTTAATAACACTTAAATATAATTTAATGCACTGTGTTTTACATTTATAGTACAATTATTTTTTTAACACATTTATATTGTATTTACTATTTTACAAAGCATTATATTAACCATTTACAAATTTACATGACATCTTAGTTACTTTCATTTACATATAAAGTTATATATTATATTTATATACTGTTTTACTCAAAACCCCCTTATCATATATTATTTTACCTCTCATTATAATAATTATATTGAAATATTTAAATACCTATGCATCTTGTTAAATTTCGAAGTCGAAAGCGTCGAAATTCAATAAAAGTATCTAAGTACTATAATAGGTTTTTTATAAAAAACCTATTATAGTCGTAGTAACCTCGAGAGGTTATACTAGACTCGCCGAATTAGTAGGTGAGCTCACGGGGCTAGAACCTGACGACGTTGCCGAGGGCCGAACCACCTTCGAGGTTCCCGCGGGATGTGTTAGACTCAGTCCGAAGATGTTAAAGGGAAACCCACTAAACGATTCTTGTACACTCTCGCCCGACGTCCGACTCCTGAGATCTGATGAGGCTGCACTTGTTATTCGCATCGTAAGTTCATTAAAGATGAAAGTATGAGCACAAAATAGAAACTTGTATATTACAAGCTATTTTAAAGCTGAAATCGTTCATTTCATAAATACAAATACATTATGACATAATCCATACTAATATTATAAATGCGAAAGTAACTCTGTCTGTCTGTCTGTCTGTTCCTCTTTCACGCCTAAACGGCTGAACGGATTTTGATGAAATTTGGTATGGTGATAGATGATAACCTAGAAATGGTCATAGGCTATAAATAATCACGCCATCGTTCTTAGGGGGTAGGCAGTAGGCAGATGACTAAATTGAGTTAGTGATTTTTAGTCGTTTTTGTTGGGACTTTTGCTCTTTCACGTATAAAAGGCTGAACAGATCTTGATGAAATTTAGTAAGGTAATAGATGGTTACCTAAAAACGGATATAAGATCAAAATGATCACGTCATAGTACTTAAGGGGTAGGAAGTAGGCAGAAAACTGAATTGAGTTAGTGATTTTTTTATGGTTTTTGGTGGGAGTTTTGCTCTATCATGCCTAAACGGCTGAACGGATTTTGATGAAATTTAGTTAGGTGATAGATAGTAACCTAGAAAAGGATATGGGCTATTAATATTCATGCTATCGTACTTAAGGCGTAGGCAGTAGGCAGAAAACTANTTAATAAAGACAAACAATATTTAATCTATTCTCAATTTGACCACAGACGTCAAGAACAAAAGTTTGACAATAAATAGTATGCATGCGTGTGTGCGTCAAATACATGGTATGTAGTGTGTGTAATGTTTTCTTTATTGATTTAATGTATCTTTTATGCATTATTTTAAAAAAATATTAGCATTGTGCACTTCTTCTCTATATTCTCTGTAAGTGTGGAAAATTTCATACTCCTCCGTCCGCGCAATTTTCGTAAAAAGATATACAAAGTTTTTGCTTCACGTATTAATTATATAGATACCCTAATCAGATGTGTTCAATATAAAGATCGTCAAAACCATCAAGACAAGTTTGTCTATCGACATTTAAGAATAATGGGCCTGGTAAGTCACATCTGCGGGGTCTCGTTATACTAGACAATAAAAACCAAAACCATGGTTGATTCCAATACTTTACATACCAACTTATTGAAAAAAGGCGACAAAGGCAACCTTGGTACATAACTTGACAGTCTTTAAAAATACAGATGACAACTCGACTCGGCTATCTATTTAACAACGTCGTTTTGTCTATTTAAATATGCAAATCTACTTAATATTTTTTTTTTACTTACAGCTATCGTTACCATTATTGCCTACCGTAATTTACTTTTATATTAAAGTCAGAGTAACTAGAATAAATGGACGCATCAATATCTTTTCCAAAAGTAAAATACAAAAAATAAACTTAAAAAACACGCTTTAATACCAATACGAAAGGAAAGTTAAACAAAAAATATTTCACCCCTATCTTAAGTATTTAATTATTATTATAAACAAACTCTAGTTGCACTGAAATTTTAGATCATTTTTTGTTTGTTTTCAATATTAATAAGCTTATTATTTTATTAGCTAAAAAACCGGACAAAAAAAGCCCCACGTGCACAATTTAATTAATTCGGCGTTGCGGCGTCATTTCTAATCGATAGGGCAGGATAACGATCCGATAATGTATAAAACATGACTGCTGACGAAGGTCTCTAATCAGTTTTGATATGGTATCATTGATAGTATGCAAATTTTAAATTTTAGCGAACTTTTCTTTCCCGGTAATGTGACGCAAATAAAACGGTTGCATGGCGCGCGGGTGGGTATATCTTAGAGCTGCATTCGCGTTCCAATGCCGGTCGAGGAAGCATGATCTCACTACAATGGAATCCAGGGCAAGAAGAACAACGACTGTACCGCTTGCTACAGATTCATGACAGTAAATAGACATTCTAATACATGTGGACTTACACCAAGTTCTAGAACTCTATTTGGAGTATTATGTATATTGTATTGCGGACTTATTATTTTTAATTTCGTAATTAAAATGAAAAGTATTGAGGTTGTTTGTTAGAACGACACGTACATACATACATACCTAGTTCATAAAACTGAGTTGGATCCGTGGATCCGTTGAGATTGCGTCGGCCTTTTTTTTTATTATCCTACATTATATTCTAGCCAAAGGACATTTGTACTATTTAAAATCACTGTTTAATAATAACGAGCTACTTTTTACCCAAGTGTCCAAACAAAATGTTTTTTGAGTGTACGAATGCGTCGCGATATGCGTCATGATAATCGCCTTACCGTTGGCGCCGCTGACTACTCTCCGAATACTGACCACGCAGGAGTCAGTCACCATCGGCGCCCTAGACTAGTCCTTACGGATCCATCAGATTCAATAACCCTGACATTAGACGGCTTAACACTAGGAGCAGACTTAGGGGCTTTGGTAGCCGATTTTTTTTTAATTTGAGACAAGCATACGGTACACCAGATGGTGAGTTGTTACCGTCGCCCATGGGCTTCAGCAATGCCAGGTGCAGAGTCAAGCCGCTGCCTACCGTTTCGGTAGACAACTGCTTGAGTATTCCTCTCCTATTGCAATTGTCCATAACCACTGACAATCAGTCAGCCGTTGAAAAAATCCCACGGAGCCACGGAGTAACAAATTACTGAACATAACTTACAATCCTCTTTATTAAAAATATGCAGTGCGGTAAATATTGCAATCACTCAACTGTATTGATTATAATCTGGGTGAATGTGTACTGTAAATAATGTAAGTAAATATTGAGTAAGATTGATACCATAATCACCTACATGGTATAAAAAAGAAATTGTAATTACAATAGTGTAAGAAAATCGTCAGATAACAACTAATACTTATCAGTATTCATACTGAATTACGAGTATTACAAAGCCACATCTCTCGAATTATAAATACCTATTATTAAGATGTTATATACCGATGTTGACATACATGACATCTTGCTTACACTGTATTACTTAAGCTATGTAACAAAACACAAAACTAGTTTAAAATATTATAATCTTATTATTTTTTTAGTCGATATTGCTTCTGCAGGCAGTTCCTACCGTCATTCATGGATGTGAGCAATACCAGAGCAGTCGAGAGGAAGAAACATAGAAAATTATTTGAATATAAATAAAATTAATAAGGCAACATACTAGTATATCTATATATTAATATGTGAAACAAAAATTTTGTATCCTTTTTTTACGAAAATTGCGCCGTCGGTGGAGTATGAAATTTTCCACACTTGTGAACTAGAGAATATAGAAAAGGAGTGCAGAATGCTAATATTTTTTATAATTAGGCATAAAAATACAAAAAACATTACACACACTACCATGTATTTGACACACACACGTAGGTATGCATACTATTTGTTTATTGTCAAACTTTTCTAATTGGTGAATTCTTACAGGCT